CTGCCCTCTGCCTCTGAGGACATTCACTCTGAAACCCAGTGACCATGCTGTGACGATGTGCAGGCTACAGGGAGAGTCCACCCTGCGGCGGAGGGGGGGGGGTGGGTTTCAGTCAAAAGGCAATATCTTCTGCTACCACGGGAGCGATAATACAGCCCCCAGCTGTCAGGTCACCTGCAGACTTTGCGTTTTTCCAACGATGGCCCCAGACCCAGTAGGGCAGAGAACTTGTCCCCACCTTGTCCTCTTGGAGTTCCAGACTCTCAGAGCCCAGGAGCGTGATCAAGTGGTTGGTTTAGGCCACTAGATATCACTACTCGGCAGTCGAGGACAGTGGGGACAGAAGAAAGGAGCCTGGGACTGGGCACCTAAGGGCCTCACTACACAACTGGCTGTGTCACCATCTAGCTACGTGCAGGAGAAACATCACTCGCCAGCTTCAGCCTTAGTCTTCCTACCAGTGCAGAGCCCGATGCGGGGCTTGAACTCATGAACTGTGAGTTCATGACCCGAGTGGAAACCAAGAGTCGGCTGCTTAACTCTTGAGCCACCTGGGCGCCCCCCTACCTGCAAAGTCAATGTTAATGGTGGCTAATGTACGGAGACGATGTGTCAGACACAGCCAGTTAGCTAAAGCTGTGTAACAAATGATGCCAAAGGTTAATTGCCTAAGGCAATAAACATCACCTCATAGTTTCTGTGGGTCAGAAATTCGGGAGAAGCTTCCCCGGGTGGTTCTGGCTCATGGTTTCCCATGAGGGTGCTTCAAGACGTCCATCAGGGTTGCGGAAGTCTAGGGTTTGACCGGGGCCGGGGGATCATCTCTCAAGACGTCTCACTCACGTGCCTGGCAGGTTGGCGTTGGCTTGTTGGCAAGAGGCCTCAGTCCTTTGACTCGCGGAGCCCCTCCACAGGACTGCTTGAGCATCCTCATGACCTGGTGCCTCGGTTCCCCCGGAGCGAGGGGTCCAAGAGAGCGGGGCAGAATCCTCGCGGTCTCGTACGAGCTCACTCGGAAGTCACACACCATCCTTTCTGCGACATCCCTCTGATGACACAGAGGAGCCCTCGTCACTGTGGGAAGGCACCACATTCAACAGTGCTGGTGCCAGGAAGGAGTTTCATCGGCAGCCACTTGGCTACCGGCTGGCGACCACCCAGCTGTGTAGACACAGCTAATTCTCCAATGACACCGAAGGTACGTACTGCAAACAGATGCATCTCGAAGAGGGGGACACAGAGGCCCAGAAATGGGAAGTAACTTGCTCAGATTCACAGGGGGGTAAGTGATAGAGTCACAAGATGCCAACTCGGGTGGTCAGGCTCCCAAGGCGGGGTCTAAGCTACCATGGCCCTGAAGACAGACCTTCAGCTCCTCTGTGGCCCGGAAGGAACAGGGTGGATTCAGGACCGCTTCCACTCCGGAAAGCCAACCGACAGACGCGTACAGGGTGGTGGGCTGGTGACTCCAAAAACTAGCAAGACAAATGCAGCCTGGGAAGGATGGGACCTGGGGATGGGGTGATGGAACGGGAGGGTTTCACCCAAGGGTCTAGGGAGAGCCAAACTTGGGGGCCCAAACAGTGAGGAAGCAGGGACGGTTGACCAGACGGTGAGGTCTGGGCACTCCTGTCCCCATCACTGCCAGCAAAGGAGCTCTTGGCGTCAAAAAGTCTCCTTGGCCTCACCCTACCCAGATGGCATTGTCTCACCCGCTTGTTCAACAAAGGTTACTGAGCACTTATTGTACGAGCCAGGCACAGGACTGGGCAAGAGGGACGCGGCAATACCCAGGCGAGATAAAGTCCTTTTCTACCTGGAGCTTGGAATCTAGCAAGGGAGACAGACAAGTTACCGGCAAATTCTACAAGAATGAGTATGATGATGGGAAGGCGCAGGGATCTCGGGGTTTGGGGGAAGGGAGCAGATCAGGGAGGGACAGGCTTCCTGCGCTCAGCCAGAATGGGATAAGGGTGGGAGGACTTCCAAGCAGAGGGAAGAGCCACACAAAGGCTCTGAAGAGAGGTGATTTCCCTCGTTGAGAGGTTGGCGTGGGTAAGGCGGAAGGGGAGAGCCCAGTGACTTCAAAGATCAGGGCAGGAAAGCGGGAGGTAAGGGGGAACGAACGTGGTTCCCCAAAGGAGAGGGGAGTTTTCCGCAGAGGGATGGGCCCTACCCCCGACCCGAACCCAAGGCAGTAGATGGGGACGACCCCAGCAGGCCTCTCCCTTCTGGTTCCCTGGCCTGTGGGGAAAGACTTGGCCAGTGGTGCCAACGTGCTCATCCTTCCCGGATACAGAGCCCACAGGGCAGGGCAGAGGTTGGGGAAAAGCAGACGAAGCGGGAGCGATGCCAGATCTGGGCCTCCAGGTTTCAGGGTGAGCAGGACGCCCCCATCGTGGCTTAGAAGGGGCACCCTTGAGGGTGGCCAGACAGTGCTTCCCCACACAGGTGGGGATGACAGAAGCTTAACTCCAAAAGTAAGAGATGAATAGGGACAAGGGGAGGAATAAAGAGGCCTCTCCGATTCCCTGGGTTTTGTCCAAGCCCCAGATGAAGGTGGGGCTGAGCCTCTGTGTCTGGTTTCCTGCTGGGGCAGAGGACCTGGGCCGGGAGTCCAGTCAATAATGCCCCCTCTCTTCACCGCCTCTCCATCCCGTCGCCAAGGCCGAAGCAGGGCCAGTCTCTGTCTCCGGAACCAATGGGAAGAGCCCCTTCCCTGAACTCCCCGCTCCTTCTCCCTCACCTTTTCCCAGCCCCTTCCTGCAGCAGGGTGGTTCTGTCACTCCTCTGTTCAAACCTTTCAGTGGTTATCAGGGCCCTCAGGCAAGGCCCAAGCTCCTG